GGCCATCTCGGCTGTGGTCGAGCTCGATGACGTGCGGCGGCGTCTCAAGTGTCACCTTCGCCGTGTTGCCATTCGCGCCAAACAGTGCCTTGGTCTTAGCACAGTGTGGGCAGTACGACTTTGAGAAGATCACCACCTCGGCGCTCGCAATCAACTCCTCGACCAGCCTGTGGCACTCGTCGCGCTCCACCTGCGACGCACGCGAGGCTCGTGCCGCCACGTACGCGCCTGCCACGGCTGCGCCCGCAGCCGCGCCAGCGGCAAATTCCGAGATGCGCTCCATACACACAAACTGGGAACGAGCGCCCCCCCGGGGCGGACCGCCGTGGCAGTGGCCGGATGGCCGGAGTCGGCCTTTTGTAAGAATTCCTTCGTCGTAAAAAAATGGGGAAGCACCGCTTCTGTCAAGAGCGCCTTCAGAGAAAAAAATCGGTAATGTACGTAAGAGCCACAACGACAAATATCTACCCTTATAAGTCTCTCGCGGGCGTCGTGTCGGCGCCGACGCTCTTTTAACGTAGAACGTCCCAGGCCGAAATCCGCCCGCCACGATCGATCAGTCCACAATCGTCGGCCCCCAGCGACCCGCAGCGATGGATGCCGCCGCCCCCCCGCCCCCTGCGGCTGACGCGCCGATGCACGACCGGCCTCCGTCGGATGGCTCTCCGGCCTCTCCGGCCGCTGACGCGGCCGCCCATGCTGCTGCCGATCCGGTCCCTCTCACGCTCAGCGATACGGCTTTATCCGCACAAGCTACGACAACTTTGAGGTCGCCGGCTTTGGCCAGGTGCAGCCACCACCTGCTTGCCTCCATGTTCACGCTTCGCGCCCCTCCCCCCCTCTGACACCGCCGTATGACCTTAGGTGAGGGGCACGACTACCCGCCTGGAAGGCGCTCTCATCAGCAAGTCACCCAGGCACCAACTCCTGGGCGTTTACGCTTGACTACGAAACCATGCAGTGGATGCAGCTCGATCAAAACGGCGACGCCAACAGCTGGTCCCTGGGCGAGTTCCTCGCCCAGGATGAGGTGCGAGTCATGATGCTCGACCCAGCGTGCACCAAGTCGCTCACATTCCGTGAGTTCGTCAACGGGCCGATCATCTCTCCAGTCGACTGCGATCTCGGACTCCGACAACTGGACCGGTGCACCAGCCGCGGAGGACGATGGCTCCCTCGACGACATCCCTTCATCGAC